GCCCAAGCAACGTTTTCCTAAGCTAGATGCTGTGCCTCCTGTTTGCTATTGAACCTGAATTCCTTGAAGTTTATCTGTGTACCGACCTTTGGCTTTTCCCTGGAAATCCTTGTCTTCAGTCTGACCCTATCCTTTGAATAGTCCCTGGAAATCCTAGTCTTCAGTCTGCCCCGATCCTAGGTGCCCCTGGAAGTGTAACTATGGATTCTCTCTATGGATAACTCACCTCTGAGTCTGGTTCATGGCAGGTAGAATTAGGGGAAATTGTAGTGACCTCAACAGAGAACACTGGATCTATTATACTAAAATCAAATACACAAAATTTGGATGTATGCAACAGTAGCCAGATTGTGGGCAGCAAGGAAATTGTAAGCACACATAAAAACTTGACATGGATGTTCACCAATTAGCAGCCTGGGGAACAAATTGGAGGAATTAGAACTCATACTACTCAAACAGGAATAGGATCTAGTGGGAATATCAGAAACCTGGCTAGATGGGTCGCATAACTGGGTAGCAAATATCAGGGGATATTCATTATTTGGAAGGGATAGGGAAGGAAGAAGGGGAGGAGTATGCCTGTATGTCAGGAATGAGCTGGCAGTGAATGTGTGACGATATAGCAAATGAAACTGTAAACTCAAGAAGGGCCTGTCACTTCTTGAACACTCTCGGAGATAATTTTATGGCACAATTGATGGAAACCCCAATTAGAAAAAAATGCTCTGTTGGATTTATTAATTACAAATAACACAGAGCTTATTGCAGATGTGGAATATCGGGGATAACCCAGGGAACAGTGACCATAGAATGATAATGTTTACAGTAAACTGCGGGAACATAGACATGTCGGTACGACACTAAATTTAAGAAGGCTGACTTCAATAAACTGAGATACCTATTATGTGTCATAAATTTGGATGACATCTCAAATGTGAACACTGGGGACAAATAGGAAAGTTTCACAGAAATCTTAAATAACAAAATTGGCCAGTGCATTCCGTTTACCAATAAATTAAAAAAAGCAAACAAAAGTTTTTATGTATTACAGTGGCTGTCGGAGAGCAAAGTAGTACAGAGGCTAGAAAGATTAAATGTAAACAAATCCCCAGGACTGGATGGGTTACATCTCTGGGTACTCAAGGAACTTAACCAGGTCATAGCCAAGTACATGCGGACAACTGCGGAGGCTTCTCAGACAGGAAACCCTGGTTTCACTCTCAATCTTATCGGAGAGTTAGGGTTTCAAGCATCACAGCCTCAAAATAAATGATATATGGTTCAGAGTGGGTTATTCCTTCATAAGCCCTACCCTTAATCACCAGTGTTGAATTAGGAATTAATGAGTAGCAGGTCAGTGTAAGAGCATAAATACAGTAACAGTCTATAATTGAGTTCCCCAGCAAGTTGTAATGACCTTACAGATGGAAGTACAGAAAGGCATACAGTCTCTATGACACAGTGTGCAACTGCACTGAGTACTTGCGGTTTTGGTAATGGAGTTGATGGAAGGAGCTGGGGGTCCTTTGGGAGTCCGGTCCCAAGGTGAGTGGCTGGCAGCACAGACTGGAGGCGATGGAGGGTCCCAGGAGACAGCAGGCGTTCTGGCTCAATAGTGGAACGCCATACTGTCTCGTCTGGGAGTTTATATAGGCCTAGGGAGAGGGGGAGGAGCCGCCAAACGGATCGGCACACTTCCGCGTTCCAAGGTGGAACGCACCCGGCCTCCGAAACCGGAAGTGACGAGCGTGCGCTCCACCATGGAACGCAAGCGGCCGGATCCGAGAAGCGGCTGGCTGCTGAGGCACCCGATCTCCTGCTAAGGATGACGACGGTGGCCGTTACAGTACATAATCTTTATGGAGACTCTAATCAAAGGTATTGTACCGGCTGATTAGCAGAAAGTGAAAAGAAAAGGAAACAAAGTACATCGGGTAACTATAGGCCAGTCAGCTTAACGTCAATCTCAGACTGCGAAAAGGGTTTTTCACTGTTTGTGTAGTAAAAATGTGAAATCCTCTTCCACAGGCAGTGGTATCTGCTGAAAGCATTGATAAATTCAAGAAACTTCTAGATGAGTTTATTCTTTCAATACTAGACTTGTGTCCCGTCAGAAAATTTGTCTCGTTTCGGAATATCCGTGATTTCGTAATTCGTGTCCGAAACTCAATTCGGATTCGTACGAAATACGAATTTTTGTTTGTTTCGTCACATTTTCGTAACTTTACGAACATTCGTTATGATGAAGTTAAAAAGCAAAAATACCTCTGTTAATATATTGGAGTTGATGGTAGTTTTTTTTTTTTAATCCGAAATATGAAATTCCGTTAACGGATTTCAGATCCGAATTTCGTATTTCGTATTTAAAAAAAACTACCATCAACTCCAATATATTAACATAGGTATTTTTGCTTTTTAACTTCATCATAACGAATGTTTGGAATGAAAATACGTTAACGGAATTTCGTATTTCCTGCCTGTATTGTAATGCAACCCTCAGCAGCAGTAGAGGAAACCTCTGATTGGTCAACCAAACGAAATACGAAATTCCGTTAACGGATTTCGGATCCGAATTTCGGATTAAAAAAAAAACTACCATCAAGGCATCAACTCCAATATTAACAAAGGTACCTTTTTCTTTTAAATAAATATTCATGTAATTTTATTGGTATCTATCTTCATTTTGTACATTTACCAGTAGCTGCCTCATTTCCCACCCTCGGCTTATACTCGAGTCAATACTTTTTCCCAGTTTTTTTGTGGTAAAATTAGGTACCTCGGCTTATATTCGGGACGGCTTATATTCGAGTATATACGGTATTTTGCTTTTTAACTTCATCATAATGAATGTTCGTAATGGAACGAAAATACGTTAACGGAATTTCGTATTTCCTTCCTGTATTTTAATGCAACCCACAGCAGCAGCGGATCCAAATTTAATATTTCGGATAAAAAAAAAAATCTTGTCATGTTGTTCAACCTCATTTACAGGGGTAATATTAGTTCCCATTTCAACGAAATTCGGATCCAAAATTTCGATTCATAACTAAATGTGTATTCAATACATATACAAGGATATGGGAAGCATTAGAGCCATATATATTGTGGGAGTTTGCTCCAAATGGTAACACATTAAGGACGCATCCACTCGCTTAAATCTTAATTTAAGGGCTTCCTTGCCCACATTTTAGTAAACGAAAGTTCGCAAAACAAAGCAATCACCCTTGCAGGGGTTCTTTAGCGTTTCTTGGCAGCACATGCCCATCCAGCCTCCTGGCTCTACATTTGCAGCACAGCTGCTCCGGCCTCAGACCTCAGACCACTGTCTATTCCTCCAGACAACCTCAGTCATGTGCTCACCTGCACACTGGGGTTTTTTCAATCCACAGCACCCTGCTGCACTGGACTCCACTCTGACTCCTGGGTGGAGCTTTCCTGTCTCCCAGGTGGAGCCCTGAACATCAGCCAGCACCCTTTCCATAAGGGCTGTGCACGGATGTGCAATCATTAGGTGCTGGTCCCTACTAAACCACGGACCCGGAAATGGAGATCTCATCCCTCCCAATTCTCTTTGAAATCTCCCAGTTCCAGGACCCCATGCCAAATCCACAAAACCTGGGAAGAACTGCAAAGTCAGCTCTTTCCTAGTACAAGTACTTGCTTCCTGGAACCGCTCAGCACCGTCCTGGGTGACTACAACCCTAAGTTCTACTGTGGGATTGCCACACAATACCACAATATACAGACACACAAACACATACACAAAAAAAAAGGTTGAACTGGATGGACCTTTGTCTTTATTCAACCTCATCTACTTTGTTACTACGTAAAGAGAATGTTAATGCATTTTGGCCCACTGAATGAGTGTAATGGATCATAGTGGAATCCAATGTGTATGCTTAGGCCCTTTTTCTTTTTTCTTTTTTTTTCTCTCAATCGTGTGTATCTCTAACCTGCACCACTGTTTGTTTAGCTGTATGGTTAATGGCTGTTTTTGAGCTGCATATCACGTTGACTTACTGTGTTTTGTTTTATAAGGTGTGTCTTTGTATTGTTGTCTGCTTTTTGGGGGGAAAAATTTGAAATAAAACACATTCAAGAAAATAGTTTAAAATATCGCTATGTTCAAATTATTTCAAATCTTTTCTGGAGGAATTATATATTTTTTAAAGTTATTAGGGTTCCAACAAATTTTGTCCACGTCTGTAACTACATAGTTAATTATAAATAGTCATTTATATTGTATGCTTTAAGAAATACATGTTAACTGTTTTGTTTTTTTGAATCAATCTACTGGGTCTGCTACAACTCATTGCTATTAAAGACTATTCCACATTTTCAGAGTTCATGCAGTAAAGAACCCCTTCTGTAGACTGAGGTTGAAGTCATATATATTGTGGGAGTTTGCTCCAAATGGTAACACATTAAGGACGCATCCACTCGCTTAAATCTTAATTTCTGCCAGAACATTTACGTATGTCGTAGGACGTATGTCCTGCCAGAACATTTTTCTTAATTTTGCTAAGAAGGTTTTACTACTATCTAGGGCTCCACTAGAGAGATTTACCCCCTAAGTGAGGGGAACTCTCCAACAGCAGAACAGAGAGATAAAGCTGTTTTTCTTTTGTCTAGACAGTTATATTCTGTACATTATACTGTACTCCAAACTGCTCCACTGTGTATGTTGCAAGGAAGGTAATATGCTAATTACCACTTCACTCTGTGCACGGTTTGCTGTACATTACATACACACAGGCTACACCTTTGCTGTGTGTTACTTTAGACTGCTCTACCCTGTGCTGTTAAGTATTTTGCGAACAACAGATCAGCAGTGGAACACAGGGAATTCTTACTGCTGAACAATGATCTATAGGGCAAGGCAACCTAATTTGTTTCTGTTTAGAGTGGAAACCAATATGAACTGCAAGAAAATAAATTGACACAATTTGCTTCAAAACTTCATTTAACTTTATTTAAACAATGACAGAACTACAGCAGCATCTTTAGTTGGCAGCAATAGTCTGGTCAATGAAATCCCTGAGTTCAGTAACTCGTGCATATACTCCAGGAGTTGATGGAGAACAAGTGGAGCTTCCCCAGGACACAATGCCAACCAATGTCCAACTTCCTTCCTTCTGGCACACAAGAGGTCCACCAGAGTCACCCTGAAATTTATATAGAGTCCAGTAAGCATTATTGTGAGACAAAAAAACAGACATAATATGGATAATACTGAAAGAGTAATACCAGCCTATTTTTTCCAGTTTTGGATAGAGCAGTGGAGGGTTAGAGCTTCTGTAGCATTCTTTGTACTATTTGAAACCTTATTTGAGGGATTTCCCCTCACTTCATGTCCTGTTTCCAACAATGTCACTTGAACAGGAAGTGAGTTACTGTCAATCTCCCATGTGGACGTAATCAATACCTAACTAGGCTCTAGCCTTCTCCATCTATACTAAGAATGCTTTTTAATGCAGACTGTTTCCTTCGTAGATGTTTCCCTGACTTACTATCCTGATTACACATTGTCACCAGAACAGGAAGTGAGGGGAAATCTGAAGAGGGCCACCAAAAGAAGTAAATGCTGTCAGAGGTTCTACCCTTCCACTTTCTACCCAAAACAATAAAAAAATTGGTTGGAGATCACAAAGATGGGTGGGAACAACCAAAGCTCCCAAGTTGTCAGGAAAAGGGAACCATAGCAGGGAGATCTCAGTTTGAGGCATCCAAGACATATTAGATGCTAGAAAATGACAGGATTTGATGACTTATAACGCAAATATCTTTTTTGGGTGGAAAGGTCCTTTCAATGGTTATCATCATTAAAAATGATTTGTATGCAGAGTAAGCTTACCATGCAAGAGGAGGCACCATCAGCTCCAGCACAGACCATCACATCATAGATTTTATTGCCCCAGTATTTCTTGCATTCGGTATTAGTGAGAAGAGGAAGAGCTACTTGCTGCAGCCTGGGTGGGGTTTGGCTTGCTGTAAGGAGAAAGCAACATGGACCTCATTTACATTCATTGTGCTTTCCAATTTTTTTCTCTATAAGAACGTGCATAGAGGTCCCTTAATCTTATATTTTTTAAGCAAACTATCTTTCTCAACTTACTACATTTTATGGGCAAAGACACAGGCTGGTATTGGTCAGAAATGTTCACAACTCTATAATGTTATGTGTGGTTGTATTGTCCTCTACTCTGTGAAAATAAAAATGGAGCTATACTGTTACAATGGGACAAAACAAGCAGGAAATTGGGATTGTAGCTCATAACAGCCATCAGAATTACTGTATTTTATTTTTATTTTTTAAATTAAAGATGAAAGAAGACTAGTTGCTATTGACAACTCCAATTGTGTGATCATTTCCTTTTCTCCAGTTTTAATGAATCAGGCCTGTAGCATTCATTGTAACAAAGTCATATATGTAGGGTGGCTAAATAACACTGAAACTAAAGTAGGATAAAGTAGGTAGAGTTGTAGCTGCTCTCAGTTTATATTGTTTATTTGTATGTATTGATAGGGAGAATTTAAAGTTAACATTATTTTAATGCAAAATGTTAAAAAGTTTGCTTTTTATTTTTTACCCTTTGTAAAACTGTGATATGATGCAATAATATTAAATACTTATCACATGATGGACCTGATCAGCAAAGCAGCTGCCTTTGCTGTTTCATATCATTGCCCCAGGAACAAAGATGGTGTGAACGGGCCCTTGGGCTCTTTTCCCTTGCAGGGTCTTATGCAGTCACCCTTATGTGTGTTCGTAAGCTGTGTGTGTCTCTACAAACACACAGACACATCAAGGCAGGACACTCTGCCCCCACCTGCTACTCACTCCTCCTTCCTCCCTCTTTCCTTCTCCAGGCTAGTGAATAGATAGGTCCTGGAGACTGTGCTGTCCCTTGTGATCTTGTACTGGACAGGAAGTTTAGGGAAGCCGAGCTGAGAGAGAGATGGAGCCCGTTGGAGCCAAGCTATTCAGAAACCTGATGACTGTAAGTGCTTGAGCAAAAATGTGAAGAAATACTTTGCTGGGCAATGCATATTTGTTTAATCTGGATTCATTATTGAAAAAAAGTTTGAGAGTTTAATACTACTTTAAAACAGGTTCACTTTCGATTTAAAGCCCAGCTCAAGGTATTTTTTCAAAGAAAATAGTCCCAACCAGAGGTTTAAAGCAGAACTAAAGTCAGCTTCTTCCGGGTGCTTGGTCTTGGAACATCATAACTAGATTAGCGGTGGATGACATAACTCCCATGCATGCCCATGGGAATTAATTCCAGCACCAAGGTGTGCCTAGACTGGGCTATGCTTCCATGGCTCAGTGTACATCCTAAAGAAGATTGCGAAAAGGGAAGTAAGCTTGTTTTATTTCAGAAGAGACATAGCATGTATCCAAAAAGGGCATGTGACCAGCCTGAATACTTCTGAAACAAGTATTTAACAAATACATAAAATACAGAGGGGGACCTCTGGGGTAGAGCACTCAACGGAGCGAAGTTGGGCTGACAACACTATGGAGACTGCCACTATTAACCAACCTTTAAAATTACTGGTTGCTTGGCTGTCATGCTGACCTACTAGCTTCAGTACTTTTTATGTACCTGATACAGCCCAGGAAAATCAGAGAAAATTCAGACATCCTTATCCAAACACTTATCAAGTCAGTGACTTAGTATTGGGGAAAGGAGATCACAATGACAGTCAAACAACTAGTATTGTCAGAGGGAGGGCTCAGCAACGGCAGCCTCATGTTTTTAACATAAAAAGGGTTCCTTTAACTAGGGCATACATCTATTTAGTCTTTAATTTAAATAAAATACGTGTGTTCATACCAGAAGAATCAGTCAGTCCCCATCCAGTGGTGACACATCTCAAACCACCTTCAAAGTTATCTGTTGCCTCTGCTACACAAACAGGAGATACTTGTAGTTGTCGAGTGACAGGAGACGCCAGCTTAATCAGAGTGATGTCATTCTTGATTGTAAACATGCTATATTGTGGGTGTTTGAAGACCTATAATATATTGTGTATGAGTGGTTAGACCTTACTGACTACATATCACATTTTACATATTTATCTGAGTAAAACATCAAACGCAGCTTAAGCCCACACTAGGGTAATGGGCTGACTCTTGAGAGCTGCAGTGAGCTAGTAGCATATCAGCCAGCACTCTAGTAACTAACAAGTCACTAGTTTTCAGCATGCATTAATACTAAGGATGCACCGATACCAATTCAGATGCCAGTGCCGATACTTGCCATTTTGACGAGAACTACCAGGGTCGCAGCTGCGACTGGGCCCTGGTGCTCCACCGCTGTCCTGAAATCATTAGCCTGTATTGTTTTAGACAAACTGTTACATGACAATAAAAAAAAGGTATCAGTAATTGGTATCTGTGAGTAATAGGACAAGTATCGGTACTTGTACTTGGTCTGGAAAAAATGGTATCAGTGCATCCCATATGAATATAAATATATATATATATCAACAAATCATACATTAAAACAGGGATGCACAAATCCTAGCAGCCCTGTAGCCAATGTATCAGTACTTGTACTTGTACGGTACTTGGTATCTGTGCATCAATATTTAACACAAGTGAAAAAACAAATGTAAAGAATACTTGGCATAATATATACTGTTTGTAAAGCCATGTTTTAAAGTTATGCTGCATTTTATAAGGAATTATGTGTTATGTTGGAAGTCTACTGCCAACAAATTTAAAGGGTCTAAGCAACATGCATATTATACGTCGGCATAATGCCAAAGGGTACAAACAAATAAAAATAAATAAATAGCAATATCTTAATCAAGACTTGGAATGTACCTTGGCAATAGATTTAACCTGAACATTCTCAGCAGATGAACGCTGATCAAATTCACCCAAGACAACCCTGTGTGAAGTTCTGTAAAACAAAATACATAATTGGAACACATCTTGTGCATGGGGTCATTATCAGGTGTGTATTACAGAATGCAAACAATGAGCTTCAGGTGCAGAACTGAAATATTTGACATGACCGTGTGTTCCCCATTACCAAATGGAGGATTTAGAGAAGGAAACAATTGATCATAGATCATGTAAACTCTTATCAATGACCTTTTTGGCTTCACACATTTCCAAAGGAAAGCAAGTTAAGACGTCTAACTTATTCTGTCATTTGAAATACTTAAAGCTGAATAATATAAACTACGGACAGAATAAAGGTTGCTTTTCTGTTCATTCCTTCATAAACTGCAGGCTGTGTTCTGGAGCATGTGGTGTGTTTTCTCAGCTTACCACTTCATTGATTGGAGGAGATGCTGGTCACATGACAGGTCACGTGACTGTGCTTTACTCCTGGCTAAAACATATTTTTTTCCTCCATTAATTTGTACAGCACTCCACTTGCTCCGGAGTCCCGAAACAAGCACAAAGCATATTTGTAAAGAATACTGCTATGTTTTATAAATATGCCATTTTTTTTCAAGCAGTGGCATGGCCGCATGAAGGCCATACTGTTGCTTTATACATCGGTCCTTTATTCTTTTTCTATGGATGGTGTTTTCTCCCCTTGATATCACACAAGTTAGCTGCCTTTGTGCCTTCCCACCTCTTTGTTTGATCCTTCTGTCCTACTTTTGCCCGAACCCACTCCAGTCACCCAAACTTTTCTTACATAGCACTATTCCAAAACACTGACTCTTCATTCTATTACACCACTGTGAGGTCCTGAAAAGTCAAATAAACTAAGTCATATTTCATACACATACAAGATTTTCTCAACCACAAGCCCTTTTGAACCTCAAATCCATCCTTTTTATCAGAAGTGTTGTTTGTTTGCTGCACAAAATATAAA